ACTTCACCTTCATGGAAGAGAAAACTTGATGCCGGGTGCCAGGAGTTCTTGCTGTGCATATTCATCACCCAAGTAATATCGGGCGCCTGAAAAAGTATTGCTCTGTAAATGGAAACATAAAAAACAAAAGGTAAATATTTGCTTGCCTCAGTGCTCTCTTCCGAAGCTTGTATGCTATTGCTGCACAATTCCGACATTCAGTGGCTCAGGTGAATAGCGATGTAAATGTATTTTAAGGGATGCCAACTTTGTACCAGTAATGATCTGATTCCGAAATTCTTGAACAGATTGCCTAGTTCAGTAGCTCTGCATGTCAGATGTACTGAAACTGTTGTACCATAGCCACTTTGGGCAAATGTAACTTTGTATCTATAATGAAAAAAATCATAATACTTTGGTACTGCTCCTATATAAGTGTCGATACTCTATAAAACATTCACATGTTTTTATCTCATGAATGTCATATCTACTACTCTGCTAGCTCCTCTTCCTGCTTCTACTTGCCAGCAGATTTCACTACCAAGAATAAGAAGCATCGCTTCTCTGTTCTCTATGTCTAGCGATGATGAATGTTTTGATGAAACTGGAGGGGCCAAAGCCCCTACAGGGATTTATTGAAAACCAAACTTACAAGTTACAAGTTTACTAAATTACAAAAACAACAACAACACTTCAAGAGACCCAAAAAGAGAGGAAGAAAATACAAGTACAAAAGAGGACTATAACATATTCTGGATCCATAGGTCAAAGAGAGCTGAGTGTTTAGCCTTTGCCCTCAGAGTGAGCAACTTCATCTCTTTTCTGAAGGTCTCTTTCACAGAATGCAAGTTGGTTTGAATGTTGCTGAAAATTATATCATTCCTCGCATTCTAAATGGCCCAAGACAACAGGATTGCCACCATCATAAAGAACTTTGGGTGGGACTGATTTCTGATAGCTTGCAAAGCTTCTGGAAAAGGTATGTCTTCTTCAAGAGTTATATGGACCAAATTCCAACAATTTTTGGCGAAAGAGAAGGTGATGTATAACACATCTGTTGGCTAGGGCTGGTTGGGGGGTGCGGCTATGGAGGATGAGGGTGGTGGCTAGGGTTTGGTGGAGGTGCGGCAGGAAGAGACAGAGAGGCGCTGGGGGAAGAGGAGAGGGGAGAGGGATAGGAAAGCCCTTAGGCTATATTTCTTTCTCGATTTCCAATGAGTACGCGTGCCAGACAGTTATACACATATTTGAAGACATAGTGAAGGATTTGAGGACAGTTCAAGTCAAGAAGAATGCTTGTGAGTGACTTATGTGCATCTTTGTCCTCTTGCCTTAAAGCTTGATCAACCAAAGAGTGAATGCTAGTTACTCTTAGAGTTTGCCAGCTCCTAGACGGCCTGGTGGAGGACTAGGTGACCTTATCAGGTGAGTTGCTTGTTGGAAGGATCCTTAGTTCGAGACCCGCCAATCTGAAGTGGAGAATGAGTACTCCACTTGAGCCTCTCTGACTCAAGAGACCAGGTGCTCCAGTATGGACTAGAGGGTAATGGCAACTACTTAATACCATGGGGAAAATCTGATTATCACTTGTCCGCCTCTTTATTTGACGAGTTTTACTTCCATTGCTTATCTTTTTTTATGTGCTTAAGACATTGTGTGAGTCTTTTGCTAGACTCGATTTTATCTTAGTGATGCACTAGCTAGGTTTCTGTCGGGTTCATAAACCCGGGGTCTCTAATGGGCCTGCTTTCCAGCAAAGGCTCGGCCCAGCAGGCAACGTTGCGAACAACGCGCAAACTCCCGGCCCGGCCCAAGTGCCTAAACGACAGGCCCTGGCCAAGAAGGGACGGTGCTCGCTTCCGACTCCGACCCGCTTCTCCGATCGGGAGGCCTGGCCAAGAAGGGACAGTGCTCGCTTCCGACTCCGACCCGCTTCTTCGACCGGAAGGCCTGGCCAAGGAGAGCGACGCTCGCTTCCGACTCCGATCCGCTTCTCCGACCGGAAGGCCTGACCAGGGAGGGGCGACGCTCGTTTCCGACTCTGACCCACGTCTCCGACCGGGAACACACCAAACCTCTACCTGCGGCTCTTCTCCGACCGGCGCGGTCGGAGCCGACTGGGAACGACCAAACGGGGACGCCCGCTCGATAAGGACCCGAGAAATCAGGCGGACCAGATAAGGTAAGGCGCACAAGTCAACAACAATACCGAGGACTGTACCCTGCACACCTGCAGGACAGTACTGTCAGGACATGTTAGAAGGGTACTTTGTAGCCTTCTGACATGGCAGGACGCGAACAGTGATGTGGGCGTCGACATTTGTCCTGCAGTATGGTAGGCGTCGACATTCGCCATACCAGAAGAACACGATGGAACCAACCACATGCATCAGGACGTCAACGGTATTGTAGGCGCCGACAAACCGTCTCGTACCCGACAGCGTGGGCAACAAGACTAGGTAGCACACGCTCCCTCTCTCACTTGTAAGGTCGTTCCCTTCATCTATAAAAAAGAGATGCGCCCTCTCTCCAAAAGGAGGACGATTCGGACAACGGACAACAGACAATAGATGGATCGATCCGACGCACTCTCTGCTAGCTTTAGACACTCTAAAGCCACACATAGCACATGTTCAAATACTTAGCGCACGTAGGAGCTCCCGTCACTCTCGGCCCTTTAGTTCAGAGTCCGACCGGACCTCTTACACCCCCATCTTACTCCCACTCATTTGTAACCCCACAGCAAACTTTGAGCACCTGGGCTTAGGAATAAAGTCACCGACCGACTCAAACTGAACATAGGGCACGTTGCCTGAACCAGTATAAACCCTGTGTCATTGAGTGACAGTCCACATCCAATCACAACGTATGGCAAAACGACAAATATTTACTAGTCAGTCACTTTTCGCACCGGCAGTTTCTTTCTTGCAAATTCTCAATAAGGACTCTTTGCTAGTGTGTTCTAACTGGACACAACTTAGTGCGGTGGCCCTAGGGATCTTCTTTAGTTTTGCTTTAGTAGTTGTTCTAGGGCTAGTTCGTGCCTGGGGTGTAGTAGCTTTAATAGGTTGAGGTTTGTTGTTTAAATTTTTTAGAGACGCAATTTAAACCCTCCTCTTAAAGTCATCTGATCCTTATAGTTAGGAATTACATACACATTTAATAATATAATGTGCTAAAGAAATTTGATGACTAAAATTGCTTCCACACGGCCAGCAGACAACTTATCCTTGTTTATGGTGTTACGTCATATTTTTCCCAAACTTGCAGACTACAACACGTGCTCACACTTTCTATTTCCATCTACAATTTGGATCCATATAATTTAATGTTGCTCAGAAAATGGAGTGTTTTTTTTGTGCGATTGAAGATGGAGGTTGTTGTGGAGTTCCTAAAGGACTTCAAAAGTGTTTGGCCTACGTGTTCCTCAATTGATTAGTAGCGATCTGTGCATAATGGACTTCCACTGATTAGTAAATGAGACATTTATGTTTTATTATTTCTAGAAGACTTTAAGTAACTTTGTAATACTCTGAATTTATTTATTTTATGATATTAATATTGGTATTCTTATGGTGTACACGTCTTTGTTCTTAAAACTGGATGTAACATGACGCAGCAGTGGCGGTTGCGCTTAACGGTCTACATGGTATCGCCAATCCTTGGAAGCAACGGTCTCTCCCTCTAAGATCTAAGGGCACATGGTAATTATATGTATGTGGTATTTCTTTAGTTGTGGGTTTTGCAATTATATTTTAATTGGTATGGCATTTCTTTAGTTGTGGTCTTTGTGTTTTCCTACTTAAGAGATCTTCAAGAGTATTTTTATATCATTTCTAATTGATATGAATGAGATTTTAGTAAAAGAAAATGAGTCTGTCTACTACACAACCATGTGTTTTATGTAGTTTCAACACATGATTTTTTTTGCACCATAGGATTAAGATCCAACAGCATCCACCCTTCTTCTACCTCCAGTCTCCATAGATCACAGATCATAATTTTTTTTCTATGGAAGGACAAATCACAGATCTGCCGCCGCCGCCACCGCCACTGCCATGGCCGGCGCAGGCGCGCCGGGCGCGGGCACGGGCGCCGGGGCGAGCTCACCGGTCGCCGGCGCCGGCGGCGGTGGTCACCGGTGAGAAAGAGAGAGGGAGAGAGATAAAAAAATCTATTTGTTTTTTTTTTTTAAAACACATGTGTGTTGTATAGCATTTCTGAAAAGAAAATACCCTCCAACAACTTTTTTAATTAGATCTCTAAATCTTTTATTCTGGATTTCTCGCTTTACAAAGATGAAAAACGTGGCTAGATACGAGATATACAGAAACTGTTGGACGGTAGGAAGATATTAAAAATGATTTTATTCAAATGACTCGGGATGATTTAGAGTGTGGGTTTAAGATAGTCTCTCTAGATCCAGGAGATGCTCTGAACCACGTAAATGTTTAGCATTTTTTGCCCTTCCTTCCAAAAGTTCAAGCAAAGGTTCTGGCCCTTGTTGGGGAGGAAAATGGGCTAAGCTCACTGCTCACCTTTTGTATACTTGTCAATAGTTAGTGCACCGTCACTAAAACCACTAAAACTATCAGCAGCACATTGATCAGGCGTGTTCTGATTGTAACATCTACAGGCTCCAACGAAATGCAGAGATGTGGAAAGGACAAATAGGAGATCACACGAACGGAGTTATGGAAAGGACAAACCAATTTGATGCAAGCCGGATCAAATCCAGAAAAAAACCACCTTTGTAACATGTTAGCTCTCTTGCAAAATATTTACAGATGCAAGGTATCCATAATTCCACACGTGCCTAGTCTTTATGGCATGTTCGCTTGAACTTATTAGCTGACTTATCAGCTAAAATCTATAATATTTTTTCTCACGATAAAACAGTTTCAGACGGCTTTAACACCGGTCGAATATGCCCGATCGTTTGGCCATTTCATTTTCAAGTTCCACGCAAACCAACAACCGTATTACGTGGCAGGGATTTTACTGGTAGGCTGGCGAATCCCCTATGCAAATAACAGGGGGTTCCCGGCCGCCGCTGATCTCGCCGTTACAAGCGGCCGCGCTCGCACCAGTCTTCTCGGCGCCGAGCGGAGGGCCGGCGGCGTCGTCAGCCGCGCCCTGGACGCCTGCTTCTTGCCGGCCGCGGAGGGAGGGCCGCGGTGCGCATCCTTGAGGCCGACGCCGCAGCTCCGCGACGTCTTGAGGCGCTTCGCCGGCGGCTTGGGCAGGTCCTCGAGGCCGCCCACCGCCGCCAGCGACGCGAACGACTGCGACTTGCCGTCGAAGAACTTGGACAGGCCCCTCCTGCACACCGCAAACAAAGCAGCGCGGCGTTGTCAGATCACAGCAGCACACCCGCCAAGACCAAATCTTTGTAAGCCGGAAGCGACGCGGCAGCAATGCCTGGCCGGCCGGCGCGCGGCCACGACTACGTACTTGATCGGGAGGTGCGTCATGAGGGAGGCCATCTCGAAGTGGCAGGTGGACCCGGACGAGCTGGCGTCGTCGGCGAGGTCGACCCCGTCGGAGGACGACGACGTGGAACGCGCCGCGGAGGACTCGGACGGGCAGCCGATGTCCTCCTCCTGCTCCTCGAACCTGCTGATCACCTCCTCCTTGCCGCGCGCGAACAGGACGTAGGCCTCCATTCCCCAACTCCACCAAAGCAGATCACGCGAAAGAACGAACGAACGAACGAGCGAGCGGTGGAACGATGAGGTGGTACGATACGATGCTCTAAGCTGACGACTGTTGCGGGGCTGCACGACACGACGAAGACGAAGAAGGCATGGGGAGGGAATGGAGGAAGGAAGCCAGAGCTATAAAGGTAGCGGTGGCGGAGGGCGGAGGCAGGCGGATAAGAATGACGACGAGTAGCGGGGGATGCGCATGCGCGCGGGAGAAGATAAACGAGCCGTCAGTCAGCTCGCGGGATCAACAAAAAAAACGGGGGGAAAGGTGTGGTATTATCTACAGCAGTCCGTCTCGTTCTCATCCGTTCAACGGCGAGCGACCCTGCCTGTCGTCCTCCCTTTTCTTTTGCTGTCGGAGGAGTGGGAGTGGGTTAACGGGGTGCTGCGTCGTGGGAAGGAAGAGGAGGACGGAGAGGATAAGGCCTCCACCTGTTTGCTTGCACGGTTTCGCGAGGAGATGCGCGGCTCTGCTCTGCTGCTGCTGTGCCCGCACGGGTTGGGGCCAGTTTGGATGTCAAAATTTTTGATAAAATGTTACTATAGTGTTTTCGTTGTTATTTGACAATGAGTGTCTAATTATAGTGTAATTAGGTTTAAAAGATTCGTCTCGTGGATTTCGTCTAAACCGTGTAATTAGTTTTATTTTTTATTTATATTTAATGCTTCATGCATGCGTTAAAGATTCGATGTGACAGAAAATCTTGAAAAATTTGGCATTATGGGGTGCAACTAAACAGGGCCCGGCGTGCCGACCAGCCCCGGCTCTGCCTCTGCACTCCTGCACGCTGCAGCAACTGTCCTTGGCAATCTTTTGCCGTCAGATCTCTTGCTTGCTAAAAAAACAAAAAAAAACGTTCGTGTCAGCTGCGAATGCTCGGATTGTCACGCTGTCTTTTTTGTTGTTTTATTTAAAACGTTGTACCATATGGAGACGAAAAGGCTTGCATGTAACGTGATAACGTCGGTCTTCTTTTGTATGAAAGGGATCAGAGCATCAAATCGTTCAAAAGATTTGAGGGTGATCTTTCGAAACAAAAAAAAAGTTTAAGGGTTGCTTGTGAGTTACCATCAGTGTCTCCAGAGGCAGTGGCGGATATAGGACGGGGACAAAGTGGGCTAAATAATACTCCCTTCGGTTCTCTAAAGCAAGTCGTTTTGGACATCGATACGGTCTTTAAGAAACGACTTTCACTATAACTTTTTGCTATAAAATATTTATAAAATATAGTCAATATATACTTTTATGAAACTACATTTCGAGATGAATCTACTTACATCACTTTCATATTTTCAAACTCAACCCAAAAGAAGTTATTTGTAGTCAAAGTTTAAAATGTTTGACTTAAGACAACCTCAAAACGTAGAGAACCGGGTGTCTGCACTTTAGTTGGACTAAACAGCCAAACACTTCGCATGGGGATCCTATTGGAATTGGGATCCTAAGGAAACTTGGGCATTTATTACCTGGACCATATTTGCAATATATTTACATAGTAGAACAAATCCAAATTGGAAGGGTGCGAATTCCGCACTTGTAGCTTCGATAAGATTTCTTATAATTTGGATCTGCTATTTTGGTATCAATCTGTTAGGAATAGGTTTACATAGTTACGGTTCATTTACATTACCATCTAAATAATTACATAACATAAAACCTGAAGGTTTTTTCCTTTTTTGTTTGATTTGAGAACCCTTTGAAAAGACGTTAAAGGGGTTCTAAAAAATTCGAGATGGATCTAATTAGACTTTTTTGCTCTTTTCTGAATTTTTTATTTTTCCACTCTGGAATATAGAGCGGACTGGTTAAAAAAAGAAAATCCTATTTAGTATAGTAATTTGATTAAAAGTGGGCTAAAGTTTTTTAGTCCTTTAGTCCACAAAACTGGACTAAAATGAACTAAAAGGTGTTGGGGACACCCATGCCCCTCATTTATTGTCCTCTCACTCAGGGTAAAAGGGTCTTTCTTCTACATCATTTAATAATTTTAGTCCATTTTAATTCAAGAAACCAAACACTACTTTAGTTCACTTTTATTTCATGACTAAAATAGACTAAAACTTTAGTTCATGGACCAGAGAATCAAGTAGGCCTTAAGTAACTATGCTATAATAAAGAAATCTGGCTCACCAGGGGCTGTAGCCCTGACAGCCCCCTTTAGATCCGTACCGAGGGTGTCACACAAGGATGGTCGGTCGGCCGAGGAGCAGCCCCCGCCGTGCGTGCCAGATCAGCGCGGCATCAAGGCGCCAGCGGCAAGCTAAAAATACGGCCTGTCCTGCGGGGAGCCATGAGTAATCGCAACGAGGAGCAGATGCGTCTCCCCGTGGCTCAGAGCTGCCCGCTTGTCCACGTCAAGCGGCAGGCTGCAGATGTGCTCCAAACGTGACTCAGGGACACATAAGACTGTCTCCGAGGATCGATACTCAAAACACATATCATTTCATATTCGGACAGCGCTATAGTCGAAGGGTTCAATATTTATTTTTAGTTTTCTTCGACAACAAGGTCCAAATGAGAATTTTTTCTGTAAATGGGTCTCCAGAAGAGAGAATACTCAGATTTGAGTTATACCTCTTTTGACACCTAAAATAAGTCTTCTGTATAGGTATTCTGTTAGAGACTATAGATATCGTGTTGGTGATGATTTTGAGTTTGGGTCTCCAGGTGTCGGAGACAGCCTAACCGCACGTCGTTTTCGCCTTCACCGCAGGATCGCGAGCGGGCGTCAAATGCTACTATAATGCTGCGCTTTGTACTCATTCTGGTTCAAGTACGACGGTTGAAGCGGCATTTATTAGTCAGACTTGGCTCGGGATATAAAAAATAGAGAATTTGGAAAATATAGGAAAAGCGTTTTCTCGTTGGGTCGGGCCCATGCTTGTCGGTTGTATGGGCTAACATTCCTATATTAACGGCCATGGCTCGCAACGACGGAGCAGGCTAGCGGGGCTCTATCAGGGAAGCCCACGAAATGTTACCCAACGTTCGTTCCCGCCTAGTAGGCTTCAAGCCCACCTGAAAACTAAGCTGGGTTTGCCGTTGCGCGGTGCGGCCCGCCTGATTACGCGTACTGTGTGCTGACTGACTCCAAATCTTATGGAAGATTTTTTCTGTTGTTGTCTTTCATAAGTTGCCACGTAACATGTCACACAAGACAAACAAAACAACGAAAATACACCAGATATACGTCACATGACAGCTTCTGGAAGATTTTGATGCTTGTTATCTTCCACTTTCAGAAATCAAAATGTGCCACGTCAAGAAATTTAAAAAATGACAACACAGCTACAGTACACATATCCAACGAATAGAAAGAGCTCAGAAATTACAGCACATATTAATTCACAGAAATTACAGCAACACATCTCGCGACACCTGAGATGGCCGCGACGGCGGCGTAGAACACGGAGGAAAACGATGAACACCAAAGGAAGAGCAAGACCAAACATCAAAGCAACACCAACATCAGAAGAAGAAAATGACCAATGCATCAGAGGCAAGGTTTTGGATTTCGTTTTGCGTTTTTTTTCGGCCAGGGCCGAAAAACCCGAAATTCGCGAATTTCGACCGAAATTTCGAAAATTTCGTGTAAACCTGCACGTTCAAACTTAGGTGTATTTTGGCGAAATCACCGAATTTTTTTAAAAAATCGGACGAAATTTGAGACGAAATTTCGGCTAAATTTCGTTACGTAAATAGAAAAAATGCTTTTAAGTTAGAAATAGAGAAGAGATCCACAAATACAATATTCCACGGTCCACAGGAGGGCATAACACGTACAAGTTCATACAATATCTGTGCAGAACATACGCATGTCCAGTTCATAGTTTCATAGTCATAGCGGGAACATAGATAAGTGATAAGTCCATAATAGTTCATAAAAGGGGTGCGAAAGAGATCAAAAGTCCATAGTTCAAATTCGAGAGACAGTCCATACTTAAAATCTAAAGACAAAGACCACATAGCTAATAGAGAAATCCTTGACCCTCTTCTTCTTCCTAGCACTTTGTCCCTTCGATTATCGTCCCTCTGGTTGCTCTTCAAATTGTTGGTGTGTGCCCAGAGTATCACCTATTGAAATAATTAAACACATTAGCCTCTTTGTCTTTGGTCAAAAGAAAAGAAGTAAATTCACACATGAGTAATTACCATCCCTATGCTCGGTTCATTATACATGTCATTATTTGAGCTACTATCGGCCAGATTCTCACATAATGGGGCTGCCATGAGGGCTGCTATCATCGTGTCGTTTTCGGTTTCTACAAAATCTTCTTCTTCATCTTCAACAACCCTCTTACCTTTTCTCCTCCTATTAGCCCTATGTAAAGCAAGAATTTTCCTCTTCTTTGACCGACCAAGCAATTCTTCAAGACAAAGATCATCATCTACAATTTTTGGCCTGTTCAACCAATCCATGATTGGGTTTGATTCATCAAATAACGTGCAATCCATCAAACAGAGCACATGGATCAGCCTCTCTCTCTTCTGTTTGATTTTTCCTACACCTTGCTTGAGGCGTTGCTTTAAATTGTGGCGTACATACACAAGCTTTGCAGACTTCTCATAACCAAGGCGGTTTCTCGGTTTTGTATGAACTAGTGCAAAAGTACTCCAATTCCGCTCACACCCACTAGATGAGACACTGCTGCTGAAACAATACGAATGGCAAACTTCTGCGACTACGGTGTATCACCACCAAATAATACCCACCAATCATTTGAAAATAAGAGGTACATGATATATCCATAAGGAGCATACAAAAAAAATAAGAGGTACATGATGTATTAGGAAGGAGCATACAAAAAATGAGAGGCAGTCGTGATTAAAAATTACTGCAGGCATTTTGCCTCATCTGCACCCTTTGCTAATTTTCCATCAAATTTTCTCTCATAGGATATAAAGGTACGAATTTGTCTTATTGCTTCAACCCCATCCTCATTGATTCATTAGCCTTTCAATTGCCTCTTGAGAGCTCTCAATACTGTTATTTTCATGAAGCCGGTGTTGATAGTGCCCTCTTTGGATCAAGGACACAGCAATTTGCAAGCATAGAGAACACATTAGTATCTTTGTTTTCCAATGAAAACTAGACATGAATAAATTGTTTTTCCTTACCAAAGCAACAATGAATGTGTCATCATAGAGATATTGAACCCTCTCCTTAATCACTCTCTGTGTATCATTTGCATCTATGTGTCCCTCACCTAAATAGACCTCCATCTCCCTAATGGCACTCAACAATCTTGGCATTATTCCAAAGAGCGTCCCCTCATCTCCATCCACATAGCGGCAATCTTGAATAGAGTGGGCCAATTGTATCTAAGACAACCTTGACATCATCCCACCACCGAGAACTTGTCATCTGACTATCAACATACTTGAAGCCGGGCTCATTGTTCCAAGCAATTGTTCCTCCACTCATCGAGAGACCATCCTTTGCCGGAATTTATCTTTCCTATCCCACAAACTCGGAGGAACATGAAGGCAGTTCAAATCTGGTTGCATTCCATCGAACTATCTCCCTCCAATCCTTCTTTTCATCTCATTATGCAGCCTATTGTGGCTATGTAGGAAATTGGTACATTTTTTTACTTTGGAGACAATATCATCAACCTCGGAAAATTTACCAATATCCTTCAACATTAGGTTGATTGTATGAAATGCACATGGCTGCCAAACAATACGGGGTACTCGTCAATAAGCTTGGCACATGCTTTCTTGTAATTTGCCCCATTATCGGTGACAAGCTGCACAATATTCTCGGGGCCAATGTCATCTACCACTTTCTTAATGTGTGTATACAAATATTACGCAAGACATGCAAAGACACAAAAATTAGAGCACATACTGAATCATGAAAGATAATCTGCAAGACATACAAAACGACATAAATTACACGCATTTTGGATGTGCTCACTTGCATTGATAGCCTTATGGAAGAATATCGCCCATGGCAATACAATGAAGTTGATAATACTCATGCTTGTCGTACCTGTCCATGAGTCACACATGACTGTAACACCATATTTCTTCCAATCCCTTTTAAAGACCTCAACAGCCTCCTCAATGCTTTTATAGTTAGCATCCAAACATGGGCCATCGATGTCACTCCCCATCGAACAACCTACTTGTTGTTCCTAACTCTTGAGTCAACCTCATTCTTTGCTCGAAAATAAGGACAATTAGCTTTTTACCCTGCAATGTCATTTGCATGAAACCATTTGGACCAAGCTTGTGCAAGTTTTTCCACCACTCCTTCCTTCAAGATGGTGTCAATCCTAGGTTGGACAGAACTAGAAGATGTAACAAATGAGTCAATCCTTGGCTGTACAGTAGGAGGTCTCCTGCATGATCCGCTACTAGCTGCTTTGAGGCGAGATGAACTACAGATCCATGCTCATATGAGGCTGCCTCATATTCACTTCTTCTTTGCAAATCATTATCTTGTCTTGATAATGCCATTAACAAGCCGCATCTGCTGCTCCTCCTCATCGCTTGCCACATAAATACTTCCTTTTCCACCCATCTCACTCACAAGAGTATTTTCCAACCTCTTTTGGTCCTCTTTAAATCTTTCTTCCTATCCTTAGATTCTTTATGCTTTCTCCACATAACATGCTTCACATCACTTGGCACCTTCTAAAAAAAGCGACATCACCTTTTGACTAGATCTTTGTAGTTAGTCTCGTTGCACCTCCGGATCTCTTGGTAGCGCCACAAAACCCACATTTAAATCCTTGTCCAACACTAAAACCATAATTCCACACATTGAATATGTTGTCATCTTTTACTTGACCTGCACAAAAGACCATTCAAAGACATTGGCTTGATAAATAATATGCAACTACTAATACAAATTTCTGCAATTTTACCTATGGCGGTAGAGGGTGGTCTTTGCATCCACATCAATAAGCACCGCCGGAGAAAGCACTCCACTCTGCTAGAATTGCTTGTACCCTCTCCACTGAAAATTCACATTTTAAAGTACACATTAGCTAAATTTGGCATACAATAGGATGACATTTTCCTTAGAGATTGAAAGCGAGCATCGGGATCAAGCGCCACCTTAATAGATTGAACTCATTTTCCTCGAAATGGAGCAGAGCATCGGGGATCAGACTACTACCATGCATTGTGCATACATTACCTAGATCGAGACATGCTTTTGCAATCGAGTGAAAAATGCAACTCCTATCTTACTTGTTTCATGGGAATAGAGTCGAATACACAATCAAAATTAACCAAATCAGACATGGTTCCACAATCCACAATTTCTAATCAACTGTTTTGGGGATCTGAAATTACGAAACGACATTATCTCGGGATGGCATACCTTGTAGGAGGAGGAAGCGATGATGACATCTTGAGCGCCGCCGCCGAATCGAGTCGAGTGCCGCTTTGCTCCCGCCCTCGCCTCTCCACGCTAAGCGTCATTGTCTCGCCTGAGCTCGCCAGACTGCGCGCCCATTTCTCGCCTTGCCACACACAAGCGTGTGTGTCTCTCTTCTACTGTTGAGCCCCACCGGCGCTGGGGATGGGCACCTATTTTGGGGCGCTCGCTCTGTGGCGCTTGATCGCCTACGGACCAAGCGACCGCCGCCAAAGTGAACGAGGAGAAGGAAAAATGAAACCCTAAGGCTGCCGATTGCATATTTGGGGGAGTTAGGGTTAGCAGTAGAATGGGCTTGGGCTGCTATATCGATAGGGACCGGGTCTGTTTTAAATGGGCCGAGAGTTTCAAATCCGAATGGGCCAATTTCGCCCCGGGTCGAAAGAAGCGAATTTTGCAAAATTTCGCCGAAATTTCGCCGAAATTTTTTTCCCTGATCAGAGGTAACCCAATCAACCCCCAAGGACCTTCATCTCAGAAAAAAAATCTCCATAAATTTGCACCTGCCTTTTGCTACGAATTACTAAAAGAAACACACCAAAAACAGGAATGTAGTTGTGCTGCTGCTGCAAGGGTACCAAAACTACTACAGCCAGTCCAGCAGCTGCAGCCTAGACAGCTGTAAAAAATCATAGCCGAGCACAGCAAATTGCTATTGATAAGAGTAGGTCTATAGTCCTTAGTGTGGCTAGAGCAAACTACAAGGACATGCTCATTAGTTGTGTGTGCCATGTGCATCCATTTCTCTTTCGCTTCTGCTTAACGGCCGCTGTGGCTGCAGTAGTTATCGCTATAGTAGATGTCAGTTCATGGGCTGCAGCTCCAGCCACAGTTGTAGCTCAAACGAACACCCTGCATCATGATAAGAAGGTAAATCAAAATCCTAGCTCAGCCCTATATCAACCCAAAAAAAACATCCCAATTTACATGCCATACAACTAGAAGACTGGAACGTAGTCTGCATAACGATCCAATCAATCTATGCAAACATGCACCTCCTTGTGTTATCTGCAAGTCTGCAAAAAGGTAATTTGGGAACTAGTAGCAGCAAAGAGAATTTTGATTTACTTGTATCCTCATCTACTATTTCACTTCAAGCATCTTCTATCCAAACCAACATACAGCCAGAACAGTTCACCTAAAACTCTCTGCCTTCTCCAAAGACCTGAACCAATGAAGCCGGCATTCCAAAATAATTTGTAGGCTTCTCTTATCAAGCATCAGCACAAAGAGATACCGCTTGTTTCTAATCTGAAACGTGTGACAAATAGCAGCAGTAAATTATAGGCATTTGGAAGTAAGAAGCAGCAGTACAGAGCACAGTGATTTCAGACTAGCGCAAATAGCCTCGGACAACACCGCCGCGGACACAGTTGACAACGCGGCGGGCCGCCGCCGCCGCTGCAGACAACGCCGCGGCCAACGAAACTAGCGGACAACGCCTCCCAGAACAACGAATTAGATGGGCCCACGAAAGAGAAAACAGTGAGTCTGTACAAGTAGAAAAGCACGAATCTTAACATACATCTAGACCATACAAAAGTGGGAAAAAAACGCACAAAAAATATGCTGGCAGATATTTAGAAATTCCGAAAACAAACGGGCTGGTCCCGGCCTGAGGAGCCCTCCGACGCACGGGCACGGCTCGCTCTCGCTCCTTCTCCACTGTATCGTTCGTTTCGCTTTGGCTGCTGCCATGCCATGACAACGCGCGCGGCCGGCATAGTGCACGCCGGCCGAGCCGGCGAATGCCAGATCGCGGCGGAGCATGCACGTACGTACGCGTCACCGGCAGGCACAGGCGCACCGCCGGGCACGTCTCGATCCGTGGAGCTCAGCTCACCACCTCCTGCATTTGCGTGCTGATCTCTCCCCGCGCGCGCCGCTCGATTCACGCTGGTGCCTCTCTAGGGCCATGAGTGGAGGACACGTGATGATGAGATCACGGCACAGGTTTGCTTCGTTCCATGACTGTTCCTTGCTCCTTCATGTCCAACTGTTCCATGACTGATCGATATGCCGTAGCCACCGCGCCTGTACGACGCCCGACGCCAACACATGCACATGTAACACCGAGCTAGTCCTCGCGCGCGGTGGCTAAACATGGGATCAAAATCCAGTCCACTCCGTCATTCGACGCCTGGCCTGCTTGGTTGGCTTGATTCATATCGTTGCTGGTTCGTGAAGAAGCACTGCTAGCTGGTTTGTATGGGAGAAAAATAATGTTCCGACTGGAAATTTACGATCTATACGATCATTTCTCTCCAGCCGAACAGTCTGGGGAGCGAGCGAGCGGGCACGTTGACCGATCTACAGGCGCATCTTGTCCACGATACGTCGATAATACCACGACCCACTGCTGCTCGCCTACAGAAGCGGATCTTGCTGCCGCGCCACCGCCATGGCCGTAGTTGACCGCAGCAGGCGACTCGGATCCGTCGATCGAGATCGCAGTGGCTCGCGCCGGGCGGCTCCATCTCCATGAAATTTTAGCAGCACCATCCAATGGCCGCGTGCCTGGGCCTAATCAGGGCCTGGATGCGCGTGTCACGGAGAATCCCCAGGGTCGCAAGGGGACAGAAACGAGAGGGCTCACACCACCTCACATGCGTACGAGTGCCGTGGCGTCCGTGGCGCCCTGGCGCCCGTCCGTGGAAGTCCAACCTCTGTGTGTGTCCCCGCCATTATCGATCGGTGGTCCAGTCCAGCCAGAAGTTACCTGAAAGAAGGCAGGCGGCAGGCCCGTGGAATCAAAATGTTCCCGGTGGGTCGCTGGGACAGGGGAGCGCTAGCGCACCCTTGTTCCAGTTCCGGGCCTTCCTTCCCCGGTGAGCGCCTGGTTGATACGTTCCTCCTCTGGTTCCTACCAGATCCTCTGCCGTAATTTCACCGTGACTTGTCACCGACATACGGAGTACAAACACAAGGGGGAAAAAACACGCTAGGCATGAGGTCCACCTGTCATTTACAGCGTCACACTCCCACGCCGTGCAGTCACGCAAGAGAAACTATGGCCCGTTCGCTTGGCTGAAATTGGCTGGAAAAATAGATCAACGCTGAAATGTTGTGAAAGAAAAATACTATTTCGGCTGAAAAAAGAAGCCGAATAAGCCGGCTTTTAAGGTAAGACAAACGGGGCTAGTGTAGTAGCTATATAATTCCCGTTGACATAAACTCAAGACTTTTCTGGCTCTGTTCGCTTGTCTTATGAGCCGTATTTTTTCAATGAATGAATAGTGTTTTTCTCTCACCGTCTCTTTGGCCTGATATTAGATGATGATATTAAGAGCAAATAAATTCGACAACTGTAGTACGCTGCGTAAAGCTGTAATAAGTTCATGACTTGTATTGTGTCCAATCTACGATGCTACTTACCTCTGTACTTTATGCTCAAATGCGAATGCCACTGTCTTAAGGACATACGTTCAAAAAGAAAAAAGCAAATATAAAAAATAAAAATTGAAACGGAGTTGCGCCGCACAGCAAAGTTGACAGCAAAAGGTGAATAAATGAATAAAAGGATACAAACAAATGCTGGTGTTATGAAATCTTTTGAATTTTACTTGTACATAGCATCAACCATCTGAAATTAAGAACTCGACAAGAGCTAATCTGTGGAACTCAACAAGAGCACTTGTAGTACATCTATACGTGTCTACGGACAATTGATGTTTCACTCCCATCAAAAAGCATAGTACAATCTAGGTTTATTAGTTAAACACCATTGCTGCATTGCATTCTTCCCTCCCATCCAGCCTTTTGATTCCTTTCTACGTCAACTCCTTTCCACTCACTATTCTCAGTCTATTATTATCCACAGAAAACAAACATGCAAAGGCCACTTCAAAAAAAACACTCCCCACTTAAAATACCCTTTAAAAACATCTATAAAAAGCAGGAAGGACCCAGAAACCTGCAAAAGTACCCAAGCTGAAAGCACCACACTTGCAGAGTTCCTCCTCAGTCCACCCCACTCCCCAGCTTCCTCCTCAGTCCACACTTGCAGAGTACCATACCGGCACCGGCACCGGCAGCGAGCAGTCGGGAGCCATGGCTCCGCCGCTTCTGCTCTTCCTCCTCCTCCTCCCGGCCCTCGCCGCCGGACACCAGCACCCGTCCTCCTACGGCTCCTCCGCGCTCTCCGAGTGGCGCCCCGCCAAGGCATCCTACTACGCCGCCGACCCCGAAGACGCCATCGGTACGCTTCCAGACTTGCCTGCCTCATTCATTGTTCATCCCATCAACCGCAATTCTGCCAGCCGACCTTGGGCATCTTTAATTCGTCGTATCAATGTTGCAAGCACGCATAATGATTTCTCTTTTAAGGGTGCCCCTGTAACGAAATTTTCCCCCGAACCGCACGTTCGGTTACCGGAATTGTGCGTCCGTACGGTTCTTGATTGATTCCGGCCGCATGGTGCTACCCGTAGAAGCTTTGTTCCTAACTCTTGCTCTGCTATGCGGCGTGCAGGTGGGGCGTGCGGGTTCGGGGATCTGGGGAAGCACGGGTACGGGATGGCGACGGTGGGGCTGAGCACGGCGCTGTTCGAGCGCGGCGCGGCGTGCGGCGGCTGCTATGAGGTCAAGTGCGTCGAGGATCTCAAGTACTGCCTCCCCGGCACCTCCATCGTCGTCACGGCCACCAACTTCTGCGCCCCAAACTACGGCCTTCCCGCCGACGCCGGCGGCCACTGCAACCCGCCCAACCACCATTTCCTCCTCCCCATCCAATCGTTTGAGAAGATTGCGCTCTGGAAGGCCGGCATCATGCCCATCCAGTACCGCCGGTACGTGCCACTGCTTCTTTTGCTGCTGCTAGATCTGAGATTCGAAATTGTGAAAGCGCTTGCTGACCTAGAATTGTGTTGGTTAGCACAATGTGGAACCCAAGAAAAGCTGAATTGCAAGTGTCCGTTGGTGAAGAAAGTGTAGAGGAGGAGGAAGTGGACCCTCTTTGTGTTGTCAACTTGTGTGAGCGTTTCAACCAGATACTAGTTTCATCAGTAGTCACGACTCTTTGGGTTTTGGCTATCAACAAAATTAC